ACAGGTCTGTTTCATATTCTCTCTACCACCCCTGTGAAATGGCCAGTTCACTTGTCCTGTCCTCAGTTTCCCAGTCTGTAACATACACAATGTCAGCACCAGCTATCATGGTTCTGTTAGCTACGAGCAAAGAGCCTGAGATTGTTCCACATTTGGTAGAGGATTTAAGGTTACCCCCATGCAGCATCTCACACACTCAGCATTCCAGCACGCTCTCCCCAAAGAGAAGGGACAGTCATGCATGTAAGCCGGGGACACCCAGGGGTGGTGTCACATAGGAAAGTGATCCTTAATCAGATTTCCTCTGATTATGACGGATGCACTTGGTCAAGGTAAGCCAAAAGGGTTTTGTTTGGCATCTTGGAGGAGCTGAAGAACTAATTGTAGCAAGCGCGGGGATATAGCTAGACCCTTGGGGAAAGTGGCATCAGTGAGCCAGATGCCGCCAGGAGTGTCTCCGTCCCCAGCTGCTTCCTGCCAGGGCTCTCCTCCTTGCAAACTCTCGGTGGATGGAGCCTTGAGGAGGTGCTTCTATTGCTGGCCAGCATTAGCTCTCAGATGAAGCCGGTGTGACTTCCTGCAGGCACTGCTGGGCCTCTGGGCAAGTGACTCTGTGCCTGTGCAACAGGCCCCCACCGTGTCCCTTCTCGCAAGTCTCTCCTGCCCGGAGGCTCTCTCAGAGCCCCGGCTCTGCTTTTCTGTCATGTACTCCTCTCCCCACCATGCGTATCCACTGGGCCTCCAGCGAGGCTGAGCAGAGATTAGATATCAGGAAATGTAGGAGACATGCTCTCCTGGAAAGGCATCACCAAACCTCACCAGCTGGCCCTCGGCCACCGGATTCCCGGTGGCGAGGCCCCTGCGCTTCCACTCATGCCTGGCAAAGACAGAAGAACTCCCCTGGGCGCAAGCTCATGCCCCAGCAGGGAGGAATGGGAATAAGAAGACTCCATCCCCGGCTAGGCCTGGGTCTTGGCTGGCTGGGCTTCAAGGGGCTGGAGCTACAACAAGGCTTTGGGCCTGGGAACAGAGGTCACTTAAACAAACGTACAAACACAGCAGCAGAAACAGCCAAGCCAGGGACACGTGGATCCTGGCAGGAACCTACTCGGTTCCTGTCAGCTCATCTGTGTGCCTGGAACCCCTTGTGGGGTACACAGCCCCCTTGGGGCCTGCTGGGGGCTCTGGCCTCACCCTCCATCCTGGAGAGGTGGTCACTGAGCCTCCTCTCTCCCATGTCATGTAGAGCAGCCACAGGGATCCCAGTCACGGTGAGCCCACGCTTGCTGCACTAGCCATTTCTGCCCGTCCCAACCTGGCTTTGTCCAAGTGCAAACACACGTGGGGTAGTCCACGCTTCACCTGCTTCTGCACCCACTCACACCCACAGAGTGATGCGTTCCAAAGGCGGATTAACTTCCCAGTGTCATATGGGTACACAGAGTGGTTCTCTGAGTGGCAGGTAGAGTCAAGACTCGGCAGAGCCCTGAACAGGCTCTTGGGCCCATTGGGCAGGCTGTCCAAGCCAGATGGCCAGCCTGCTAGGAGCAGAGTCCAGGGGCCATGCTGCTCACTCAGGCAGAATGCCATCTCCCCTGCCCTCCTCTGCCCTTCATTCGCTTAGGATGGTAAACTGTATGTCCTGGGTTGACGGGGACACAGTGCCAAGATATTGGGTCAAATATGTTTCTGGTTGGTTTTGTAAAGGTGTTTTTTGGATGAGACTAACATTTGCATGGGTGGACACCAAGAAAAGCAGATGCCCTCCATAATGTGGGTGGGCCTCATCTAATCCATTGATGACCTCCCTCGAGCATGAAGGGGTTCTGCCAGAAGGCTAGCTTTGGGCTCGAAGTGCTGTTCTTCCCTGAGGCTCCGGCCTGCCTCCTTCCTTGTCAGATTTTGGTTGGACTGGTCAAACCTCCAGCTGTGTGAGCCAGCTCGTTAAATAAATCTCTCTCTTTATACACACTTTTGGCTCTGTTTCTCAGGAAAGAGACCACTTTTATCCTAGCGAGAAGGGAGAGTCGCCCAAACACAAATGATGGGGCCCCCCACATACGGACCTCTGGGGATATCACTTGCCACCATCCCTCCCCCAGCTCTGAGAGCAGCCCTGATTGCACACTGTCCCTTGAAGGTCATCTGGTGCCGCTGGGCATGACCCACCTGTGGGGCCAGAAGGAAGTGCGAACCAGCTTGGAACTGTGCCTTTGCGGTCACTGGTAGCCTCCAGTTATTTTATTCCATGATTTATGGCCCTTTGGTTCATCAGTCACCTCTCCCATTTCTTAACGGTGAAAAAATAAAAGCCACCTAGGCATTTTTTTCTGCAGTCCTTGAAGAAACAAAAGATCAGAAAGTATATTAAGGAAAGATCCTAATTTCTGGTTTCTGAGTTGTTCATACGTTTTGATGTTTGATTAAAATTTTTTTGATTGAGAAGAGGTTGCAGATAGGCCCCAGTTCTGGGGTTAATTTACAGACAGCAAGGAACCTGAAATAGTGGTGGCATTATGGACACCTTCAGCCCCCCACAGGAGGGGAGACAATGGTCCAGAGCCCTCCTAGCCAGGTGCCAACCTGCCCCCAGGACAAGAGTGCCTCCACTTAGCAGCTCAGTGTCCGGTGCAAAAACCCATCTGAGTGACTTCACGGTCAACCATCAGCTTGTAGTTAGGAGGGGATTCTATTTTTTTTCCACGTACACAAAAACATGCCAGGCACAGTGATAGGGAAGGAGTATTTTAGAAAGGGAAGTGCATCTTAGGGAGCTAATTACACTGACAGAAACTGGAGTAGCACAGATCAAAACAACTGCCCAGTTTGGGTCTATCACCCGCTCTCCCAGCACTCCAGCCAGGCTCCTCTGCTCTGGGGGAGACCGCGTTTGTGGTGTTATCCATAAATGTAACCAAAGCACAGTCCAACAGCCACTGTGCCAGCGGGCTGGGAGCTCAGGCTTTGCAGCTGCTGCCAGTTTACAGGCAAGAGCTGAAAGTCACACACACGAGCAGTGGGGAGCTTCCTATGGGAGGCTGCATGATGAGAGCTGTGGGTGTGGGTGGGGAGGGGCCTGGGAGCCATGGAGGCCAAGCCCTCAGAGTAGGAGAGCTACCCAAGGGTCCACGGCCAGTCAGAGGCTGGCCAGCGCTGGCTTCTCTTGTCCTTCCCCCTCATGCTGTGAAAAAATGGCATAACCCAGCCACAAAACAACCTGCCTGCCATGGGCTGAGTTGTGCCCTTCCCTCAGTTTCTGTGTTGAAGCCTTCACAACCGGTGCTTCAGAATGTGATTGTATCTGGAGAGAGGGCCCTTGGTGAGGTGATTAAGTTAAAATTAAACTGATTATTGGGATGGGCACCATCCAGCCTGACTGGAGTCCTTATGAGGAGAGGGAATTCGATATACCAGGAGACACCAGTGGCACACGGGCACACGGGACCACGTGAGGACACGCAAGACGGCAACCATCTGCAAGCCAAGCAGAGAGGCCTTAGAAGAAACCAATCCTGCCAACACCTTGATCTTGGACTTTGGCTTCCAGAACTGTGAGAAGGGCAATGTCTGTTGTTTCTGCCACCACCCTGCGGCAGTGTGCTACGTGGCCCAAACTGACAGGTACGCCACACTTCCGAAGGCCACACACACCAGCTGTGCAGCTGTTGCCCAACATGTCAGAGCCCACGCATTGCCTGCCATGGTTCTGTGCATCCAGAACCGAGTGATGTCTTCAAGAGTGAAAGAGGAAGGCCGGCACAGCAAACATACACAGCCAAGAGAGCCCAGCATCGTTTTGCCACTTGAAACCACAAAATCGAAAACACACAGGCTGAGCCAACACCTGGGAGAAACTGGTGGTGGCTTCCCTGCAACTTTCCTTCCACAGACTCACGGAAGGTCACTTAAGCCTCGCCCACTCGGGTTTCCTGCCAGGAAAGCAAGTGTTGAGCTGTCTGGTCCTCCGGAGGTATCTGCTTCACCTACATATGTCTTATGCCCGGCAAGTGGAAACTTCCCTACATTAGGATTAAACTGACAACCTCCAAGTGTTCACAGGTATCACCAGGAGAGCAATTGAATCATTTGAAGTTGGCCATGATTAGCCTCAAAATGCATTGGGAGTCACCAAATCCAGCTGCAAATCACAGGTATCCTCTTGGAGAGCTGTCTTCTACTTAGGCGGCATAGACGTCTGTCCACAGGATTACATTTTAGAGCCTTGAGTAACCACAGGGCAGGAAACAGTGCCTGGTCCTATGAATGCAGATCAGCCAAATTCTAGAATTCTCACTGTTGGAATCAATTATTTGGGTTAAGGCATGAAAGGCCCCATTAAATATGTGACCAAAGGGTAATCCATAGTTGGCACCTTCAGCCATTAACACCTCTTTGCAACTTCGCCCCTGTGGCCTCAGACCCATGCTTAGCACTCTGGGCTCAGGAAAAAGTTGGAGCCTGTGCCAAGGAGGGGAGAGGGAGAGCACAGGCCGGCGTGTGCCTGGAGGGACACGGGGGACGGAAAAGAAGGGAGGATTTCAGAAGGAACACTGCCAGCTGGACGTTTTGGAGCAAGCCAGACCTCCACCAGAGTCACCTTTTGGTCTGGTGGCGCAGACTAAAGCGTGGGGGCCAGGCCGGTAGCAAGAGCACCACCAGCTGCCTCTGGGTCAGGAGCTTGGCATCTCAGAGCTGGCTTGCCTGGGGCCATGAAGTTGGGAGTGCAGAAACAGTAGACATGGGAACACCAACACCAGCCTCTCGGGGCACGAGGAGAGCGGTGGCTTGGCCCTCACATGGGTGAAGCTTCACCCATGCTCCCTGACAATCAGCCTGCCTGCCAGCTCCCGACAGCCACACCCACGGGGGCAGCTGGGAAACATCTGGAGAAGCAGGGAGAGGGCACGAGTCAAGTAACAATAGCAAGGCGTGGGTAGTCCGGGCCTATCTGCCACAGGCTTGGGGCTCAGGGCTCACCCAGGGAGAACAAGAAGGACTGTCTGGCTACCCACAGCCTAGGGAGACACGGCCGAGGTTCAGCAGGGCAAAGACGACATCTGGTCGTAGTATGGGCACTTGAACAAGGCTGGGTAGTTGCTGTTCATCTGCAGGGATGCCTCGCTGGAGATGTCGGAGGGGCTACGGCCCTGGACCCAGGCGTCAGGGTGTAGGAACTGGCCTGAATAATCAGAGCAGTTGCTCAGCTGAGGGCGGTAGAAGCCCAGGTGAGGCCGATACATGTCCTCGGCAGTGTATCTCTTCATGAACAGGTACACGGACATCACCCCGGCACTCTACGGCACAAGATGGCAGAGAGGAACTCACAGTAGGGCCTGCCTTGATTCCCCCGACTGGGGTCCGCACAGGACATGACTCGGGCGCCAGGAAATGGATGTGGGGACAGGAGCAGGGCCCTGGGGACAATCTGGATGGAGGAGACCCAAGAAGGCAAGAGAGTGGCACACGCTGGGAGGAAGATGGGAAGTGGCAGGGGTGGTCCAGCATGCCTGTAGAGTGCTTACCCCCTCCTGGCTCAGGGGCAGCGCCCAGCCCCACCCAGCCTGTGTCTCTTCAGCAGGACAGAGTTTACCTCAGTTAAAAGGAAGGAGATGGCAGTGAAGGCAAAGGGACATCTGTACTTGTAGCTGAAATAGG